GCGTTTTTCCAAGCATTTTACACACTTAATACAATATGTACATTATTTTCTATAAAATCCATTCTCACAATTACATACAAATGATTTACAACGGTAAAATTAGGGTTTTCTCCACTCCATTGTACAAGTCCGTTTCATGACAGCTTTCCCCGTGCTGTACTGTCAGTGAAAAGTGCATTTCACGTGACTCTTGCTAGGTTCAAAACGGTCAACTCTGCGGTGTATTCACGTATTGCCAACGTTAACAATGCATATAACTTCAAAATATATGCTACGTTCTCTGATCAATGCACATGAGAATTAATATAGTGTGAATAAAGAAAAAAAATGTGCAACTTAAGTTTTTTTCCGTAAATGCATTAAATCTTAATTGCTATTAAAAAATACCAAAGCAACAACAAAGAATGACTCTTCATAACATTGCGATCTGGCCCCTTTTTAAACACGGATTTTTGCCTTTTCAAATCAGAACATTGACATATTTTAGCTAAAATGAACAAGTATGGTATGAATACAAACACTTCAAAATCTTTTTTGATAGAGAGACTCTCAATATATACATAATATCAATGAAATAAAATTGCATACATCAGTGCCAAATCTCAACTTCGCCATTGCGGCTATATATAGGTCACTGTATCATTTGATTAAGGAGGCGGAGCGTCAATCAAGCGTGCGAATAGTGTGAATATATTATCGAGTGTTCGACGTGTACTTAATATAGTTTTTAAGTGATATCTTATTAATTAACTAAACAATCTTAAAACCCCTCACCTTTTTTTCAGGCTTGGGACCGACAATATGTAATAATTTTGGTAGGTTTAGGTTTTATTTTTACTGCTTAGCTTTTAAACGAGCATATCAATGAAATAATTATTTTTGAAATTCGTTGAAATAAAATGTAAACACAATGATATGGTTTCTGTAAACATAATGTCTTGCAAAAGATGGTATTTTTAGGACTAGGTAAGTATTTTTAAGATTTTACAGTAACCTAGCTTATTTCTCAACCCAGATAGCATGACTATGTTGGGCCAACATTTGTTAAAGGTTGTATGGTTGGCGTTGGGGGAACAACGTTGGGCCAACGTTGGACCAATGTTACCAAGTCAACCTTCTCGACCATGACGGAATTCCTATGTTGGCCCAACCTTGGTCCAACGTAAGCAACTTCCATTCACTTTAGTTTCCAAAGAGGGAAGGATCATGGCGTTGGCCTTACGTTGGACCAATGTTTATAATACACCCTTAAAGAAAGTGTATTTACAAGTTGGTAGTAGTATGTTGGCCCAACTTTGGCCCATTGTTTGTAATACACCCTTAAAGAAAGTGCCTTATCAAGTTTGTAGTAGTCTGTTGGCCCAACGTTGGCCCATTGTTTGTAATACACCCTTAAAGAACGTGTCCTATCAGGTTGGTAGTAGTATGTTGGCCCAACGTTGGCCCATTGTTTGTAATACACCCTTAAAGAACGTGTCCTATCAAGTTGGTAGTAGTATGTTGGCCCAACGTTGGCCCATTGTTTGTAATACACTCTTAAAGAACGTGTCCTATCAAATTGGTAGTAGTATGTTGACCCAACGTTGGCCCATTGTTTGTAATACACCCTTAAAGAACGTGTCCTATCAAGTTGGTAGTAGTATGTTGACCCAACGTTGACCCATTGTTTGTAATACACCCTTAAAGAACGTGTCCTATCAAGTTGGTAGTAGTATGTTGGCCCAACGTTGGCACAATGTTTGTAATACACACAAGTGTTATTTTGTTTAGGTCTTTCAAAGATGGGATATTTATATTGGGCCAACGTTGGCCCAATTTTTATACTTCCAACTAATTGATGGTGTTAATTTTATAATTAGCTGCTGAGCTTTACGTTAGGACAAGGTTGGCACATTCTGAAATAATTAAAAGGACTTTCTATGTCCATGCTTATCATTGGATGACTGCTTTTGTTTAGATATGATATTTTCAACATTTTAATTTTGCACTTAAGTGATCAAGCACCAAAGAGTGTTTTATTCTATTTTTTGAATTGTGTATATGCTTATTTATTTGTAATAACCCAGATAGCGGAACACCGTTGGCCCAATCTTACATTATGGTTCTATTATCTATGTTGGGTTACCTTGATTGGGCCAACAATGGCCCAACATGGAATATTGATAGCTGGTTATGTATAATAGTGCGCTAATGTTGGGCTAACTGTTGGCATTATATTATAAAACTATAATCATGAGAGAAAATATTTGTTTGGGGATTGGCATCGGCCCTACGTCGGTCCAATATACCATGAATCTGACTGAGGATCATGGGTAGACAACAACCGGGCTACTTGTAATATCCGCGCCATTTTTAATCTGACACGAGCGAGCGTAATGAGACTGATACCTTGCATATCTGCATCCACTTCGTAAGTATTAATAATATGTTTGCCTCGGCACAGCTGAATTAACGTTTAGTTTTTAAACGATATCATGTACAAATCTGTTTAAATCAGACAAGGGGAAGTGCAGAGGCCAGGTGCTGTTAGGTCAACACTGTACAGATAGCATGCTAACATTGGGCCAACGTTGGGCCAATGTAATCGGTTACATCGGGCCAATGTTGGAAAATGGCATTGACCCAATTTAAGTTTGCTCATCGGCCCAATGTTGGTCCGATATGTTGGGCCAACGTTGGCCCAATGTAGAGTGTTATTTCTACAGATATTGGCCCAATGTTGCGCCAACATTGGCCCAATGAATGCGAAATTGTTGGCGAAACGTCAACAAGAACATTGGGCCGATGTTGGCAAGTGACGTTAGCCCAGTGTCATTTTGCTCCTTGGCCCAATGTTGGCCCGATATATTGGACCAACATTGGGCCAATGTGTATAAACATTTAATTGTTACAAATCTGTATATTAATGAATCTGATCGTCTCTTCAATCAGAAATAAATCTACAACCAATCCTTCTTGAAAAATCAAGCTAGCTAAAATAAATTTAAAATTCTTATAATTTATCAAACAAAATAAATTATCAGTGATTAAATTTTTTGTTTCTATACAAGAAAAATAAATGAAAGTATAAAAATGTGTTTTGATACAGTTAAAACAATAAATGATTTGCTCCTTATTTAAATTGAAATTTGTGTCTATAGTAGAATACATTTCCGAAGTCTGACTTAATTTACTTATATACACTTAACGTCGAGTACATGATCAAACATTTTGAAAATGATGAACTTGCTGAAATTTATTCAGTACTAAAAATAATTATAAATTGGGTTCTTTCATTTAAAATTTGTTCATTGTAACGACAAATTTTCAATACATGTATTCTATATGGGGCAACATTGAATCAAAATTGTTGTGATGATGATTATCAAGCGTATAAATATCATTCATAAATGCCTTCATCACGCAAGCTAATCACTTAATCACACCATGAAACAAAAAAGACGGTTGTTCCTTAATTGACAGCTTCAACATATAGTGATATACTTGTAAATTTAATCGTATGTTTACTCTTTACTGAGAAAAGTAACAAATGTATTAAGTACCAAATATTACAATTTTAGTGTTACTGGAGATTCTAAAAAGACATGGAGAACACAATCAAAGAATGGCTAAGGTATGCCAAGGACAGGGATGGGGGAGGAAGAAACGGACAGAGAAGAAAAGAAGGGGGTGGAGGAGACTCGGGAAGAGGAAATGGAGACTTAGGAGAGGGATCAGATGGAAAGTGGCAGTGCCTAACTTTTTTTCTGTAATATAGTGTGACATACCTGTAGTTCTGCCCTTTTTGTGTCTGTTTGTCGGTTATAAACACGATGCAGATGCCAGAAACATTTTTTGTGTGTATACAGTCATGTAACCCACTTTTGGGGATGGGCGGGTCAACTGAGTGCACTTTTGGGGCTGGGGTGGATGGGCGGGTCAAGTGAGTGCAGCCCCTGTTGGGATAGGTGGGTCAACAGAGTGCAGCCCCTGTGGGGGATAGGCGGGTCAAGGGAGTGCAGCCCCTGGGGGGGGATAGGTGGGTGAAGAGAGTGCAGATTAGGGGGTCTGTGGGGGATAGCTGGGTCAACTCAGTACAACCCTAATCCTAACCCTAGGGGGGCTAGATGGGTTAGTACATAGCCCCTATATGTCCTATACGGGGTGTTTACACTGTGTTTACATTTTACTATATACGCTGCTACTACGATTCACAACGCTGCTACTACGATTTTGGCAGCGAGTCAAAAGAATTTGATTATGACGTCACGCTTCACAGTCTAGACAGTCTACCCTAACCAGTTCAAACTGGATTTTCTGAAAACAATAACAAAAGACACATGATAACAAGGCAATTTTATTCAGAATTCAAAATCTATTCTCCAAATGTTGTTTTTCGTGTCAGCAATAAAGGGAATGCGACAATATATATACACTGTATAAGTCTCTGGAAGAATTCCTTGTTTCTTTCTATGTTCGAATTCACGAAAACAGCTTTCAATCTGGTTTTTCCATCCACTTTCCTTACAATAACAACTGAGCACCCATTTGTATCTTTGATAAAATAAATAACCATTTTTTCTCTTCAGACAGTATTGGTCCTCTCTGGTGTCATAATCTTCAGGATCCAATTCCACTCTTTTTACCAACCACACTCTTTTTTGGTATCTGGGACTAAATATTCTATGGCGTTTATAAAAATCCTGGATCGCTTCTTCTTTAGTTTTCATCCATTTTCCAAAGCTTGATCCATTGACTGACCAACAATACTCCGTTTTCTTTGTCATATTTTTTATCTGCACCATTTTTTTTTTACCTGTGTCGAATTCAGAATGCTAACGAAGTGTGAACGTCAATGTCCAGCGCTGGTTTATATACCTGCTGTGTGCCGTGTGCAAAAATACGTTTTACCTGCGTTTTCTTATATACCTGTTGCATCACCTGTAAAGGGCCGTGTGCAAAAAAATATGCTGACTACACAGGTAATACTTGGCAGCGATTCAAGTTTGTTTAGGGCCGTGTGCAAAAAAAAAAAAAATATGCTTACCTATGCATTGTGACGTCATCCACTGTATAAATACAGGTTTTCTCCTACTTTCAGCTCATTCTACAGTCAGAGCCAGCTCCCTGCCTGTGGGAGGTCATGGATTCTACTAGAGAAAAACAGTTACATGCTCAGCGATTATTAGAATGGAAAAAAAGGGAGAGAGAATTAGATCAAATTCTTGATGAAAATAAAGAGCGAGAATTAGAGCTTAGGAAAAGAAATGCGGAAAGATTACAGAGAAGAGCTCTACAAGAAAAACAACGACAACAACAACTACAACAACAACGACAACGACAACTACGGGAGAGAGAATCAAATCAAATTCTTGATGAAAATAAAGAGCGAGAATTAAAGCTTCGGAAAAGAAATGCCATACTATTACAGAGAAGAGCTCAACTAGAAAAACAACGACAGCAACAGCAAAGGACAAGGGCGCATGAGGGGTCAAAGTTACCTATTCATTCACCACCCAAACCCAAGGCCATATCCCAGTATTATCGAGTCAAAGTGAATGAAAGGGTGCACTCTAAAAAATTTAAAGCTCAACAGGATTTTTACACTGTAATTTTTAAGGAGTTTCCAGAGGAAGAAAACAGAGGATTTGTTCGGCGATTATTCAGAGACATGTTACAAACTTTCAAATCGAAAATGCAGTGTAATCCTAACGATTACCTCCGCCTGAACATACGCCACAAATCTCTGGAATCAGAGATTTGGTACGAGTTTACTCAATGTAAACATTTTAACGAGGACGTCATTTTAGACAAGATTGAAGCCGTGCAACAATCCAGAAAGGAGTTCAAACTGGGCGACGGGGGCATGGAATTTGATATGTTTCGGGTCAAGTATCCCGAGGGAAGTGGTGGCCAGAAAACCAAACATCTACAAGTGAATAAGGAGACTTTTAAGAACAATAAAAGAGCCATCGTTCGGATCGTCAATCCCTGGGATAAATTTTGTTTAGCTAGAGCCATCGTCGTGACTCGATTACACAGTCAAAAACCCGAACATCCAGACCCCGAATGGGAAAAACAATGGCGCGTATGCGGAAAGGAGATGTAAAGCCAATGACCAGAAGAACCAAGCCATAGCCCTCATGGAACAGGCCGGGAGTGATATCACTCAAGCTTGTGGATATGCAGAGTGGACGAAACTACAACAGGTGTTAGCTCCCCAGTATCGACTGAAAATATTTCAGTTCAAGTCTACTTCGACTAAACTCACCTTAGAGCGCATCTTCAAAGGCTGGGGAGACGGAACTTGTTTGAACATATTGTTAGACGACCATCATTACGATGCCATCATATCCATGCCGGGAGTAACGGGGAACCAATATTACTGTGATCATTGCGACGTGGGGTACAGTCATGTCACAGACCATCGCTCCAAGTGCCCTCATCGCTGTACCTTTTGTTTAGGACATCACCCTAATTGTCCCGATGAAGGGATCAAGATTAAATGCCAGGAATGCCATGGAATGTTTAAGAACAGGACCTGCTACGAAAATCATTTAAGACCCCATAGTAAGAAGACCACCACTACTGTCTGCAATTTAATGGAACAATGCGAGAAGTGTCAGTCTTGGATACCTAAGAAATTATTCCCTCATCACAAGTGCGGAGGACAGAAACAGTGTAAGATCTGTAAGAAAATCGTCGATACCGATCATCAGTGCTACGTACAACAGAAGCCCCAGAAGAAGAAGAAGGGGAAAGGGACCTTAGAGTTTTACATCTATTTCGATTTCGAATGCACTCAGGAAACCGGCATTCACATCCCTAATCTGTGTGTGGCACACCGCGTCTGTCAACATTGCAGTCACTTACCCATAGACCAACCCTGTCCTCATTGTCAACACATGGGACCCCGTCAGCACCTATTTCAAGGACCAGACACCTTAAAGAAGTTCATGGACTGGTTATTACAACCCACTACAGGTACTAAGAATTCCACTTTAGTACACGACGAGGCCATTATCATCGCCCATAACTTCAAAGGCTACGACGGACAGTTCATTTTGAATCACCTGGTGCATTCCTCTTGCCTGAAACCTAACGTCATCATGACCGGCAGTAAGATCTTATACATGGAAATATGCGGACTGAAATTCATCGACTCGTATAGTTTCTTACCGTTTGCATTAGCCAAGATGCCCTCCGCTTTCGGATTCGACGAATTGAAGAAAGGCTATTTCCCCCACTTTTTTAATACGGAACAGAACCAGAATTACGTAGGACCTTATCCACCGGCAGCTTTCTACAAACCGGACGAAATGTCTACCAGTGGACGAAAAGCTTTTTTTGAATGGTACGACCAACAGAGGGGAAAAGTGTTTGATTTCCAGAAAGAGTTTGTAGGGTATTGTGTCTCGGACGTCGACATTTTACGCCGATGCTGTGCACAGTTTAGAGCCACCCTCAAGAGTTTGGTCAATGTGGACCCTTTCCAGGAATCCATCACTTTTGCCAGTGCTGCTAATTTAGCCTACCGTCGACAATTCATGCCTGAAGACACCATAGCCATCATTCCGAACCTCGGGTATCAACCGGCACGACAATATTCGGCTAAAGCCTGTCGGTGGCTCACCTGGATGAGTCAACAGACTGGATGTCACATACAACATGCCAGAAACGGGGGCGAAATCCAGATCGGAAATTATACCGTCGACGGATACCAGGAAGCGACTCGCACCGTCTACGAATTTTACGGGTGCTATTGGCACGGATGCCCCACCTGCTATCCCAGTTTACAGACCGAAACTCATCCTCATCGGACCCAATTTACTTACCAGCAATTACACGAAGAAACCCTCAGAAGGACTGGCGATTTAGAAGACATGGGGTATACCGTCCGTGGTATCTGGGAGCACGATTTCGATCAGCAAGTGCAAAAAGATGAGAGTTTACAGCAATTTGTAGGAAACCTGGACATTCCGGATCCTTTGAAACCTCGAGAAGCCCTGTACGGAGGTCGGACCAATGCCACCCGATTATATTGTGAGGAAGGGGACATGAGATACGTGGACGTTTGTTCCCTATACCCTTACGTGTTGAAACACAGACCATTTCCCGTAGGGCATCCCGAGATCATCACAGACGAGTTCCAGGACGTGAGAAATTATTTCGGTCTCATTCACTGTCGGGTCTTACCTCCCCGAGACCTCTATCACCCCGTATTACCTTATCGGACGGGAGGCAAGTTATTATTTCCCTTATGTCGCACGTGTGCCGAACGACAGGACTCTACGTCTCAAGATCGATGTCCACACACCGACCAGGAACGTAGTCTCACGGGTACTTGGGTGACGACCGAATTACATAAAGCCCTAGACATGGGATATACCTTAGATCGAATCTACGAAGTATGGCATTTTAAAGAAAGCAGTCAGGATTTATTCAGATCTTACATCGATACCTTCCTCAAGATCAAACAGGAAGCCTCCGGATTTCCCCCCGACTGTAAGACCTCAGAACAAGAACAAGATTACATTCGACAAGTGTTATACAAAGAAGGATTCATGATGGACATTCTCAGTATCGAGAAGAATCCAGTGAGAAGAACCATTGCTAAACTCTTTTTAAATTGTCTGTGGGGAAAATTTGCTCAACGCTTGTTATTACCCAAAACCAGATACTTGGACGAAGAAGAGGAATTACAGCAACTCTTACAAGATTCGACTCTCGACATCAAGGGCATGCAACTCTTAGTCAATAAAGAGAACCCCAATGAAGACAAGATGCTAGTGAATTATCAAGACAAACAGGAATTCGTCGAAGAATGTCCCTTTGGAAACGTGGTCCTGGCTTGTTTTACTACCGCGCATGCCCGCTTACACCTCTACGAGACTTTACAACCTTTAGGAGATCGGGTCCTTTATTTCGATACGGACAGTATCATTTACCAACATCGGGAAGGAGCCTTTAATCCTACCTTGGGTAATAGTTTAGGAGAATGGACCGACGAATTAGACGGGGATCACATCATCAAATTCATGTCGGCAGGCCCTAAAAATTATGGTTACCGGACGGCCAAAGGAACCGAGGTTCATAAAGTCAAAGGAATCACTCTCAACCATCGTACCTCCCAGATCGTGTGCCTAGAGACTTTAGAAAAAATGCTCAAAGGAGAAATAGAGGAAGTCACAGTCCCTTATCCCGACAAAATCCAGAGGACTCGTGATCATGAGCTCGTGAACAAACCATTAGAGAAAAAGTATAGAATTGTATATGATAAGAGACAATTGTTACCCTCTTATAACACTTTACCTTATGGTTATTGATATGTTGATATGTTTGTTTGTTTTTATTGAATTAAAAAAAAAAATTGAATTGTTGTTTTTATGTGTTGTTGTTTTTCTTCTTCCCTATAAAAAGGGGAGCAATACAAATCAAAAGTTCAGTCATGACTGAGAAATTGTTAGATCAACCCATGCGTTATCCCCAGTATGCTCGGCTCTCAAAGAGAGAAGCTACTTTTGAGCAGGGATGGCCAGAACCTCTCTTAGGAAAAATACCAGACCTAGCTCGAGCCGGGTTTTACTACAGGGGAGTGAAAGATAGCGCTACCTGTTTTCATTGTGGAATGATTTTTAGTAATTGGGATCCCGAGGACGATCCTTGTGTAGAACATGCTTATTGGAACCCCAATTGTCCTTACATCAATCTGTATAAGGGACGAGGGTGGGTGATGAATGTGTTTATTACGTGTTTAGACAACAGGGATATAAACCTTTACCTGAGATCAAACCTCTACTGAACCCACAACCAGACGTCCAGGCTCGAGGAAAATGTCACATTTGTTTAGACGAGGAATTACAAATCGTTTTTCTACCTTGCGGACACGTATGCTGCTGTGCTTTGTGTGCTCCTTCCTTTCAGTTTTGCCCCATCTGTCGAGGCGAGATTCAACAGTCCAAACGCCTATTTCTGTGTTAACTATAAATAAGACCCTGAACCCAACTTTTCCTTCATTGATCAACATGTATTCCGAGGAGACACCCCTCCCTTCTTTTCAATTGAAACACGAGTTTACCATGGTGGTTGCTGGACCCTCGAAATCGGGCAAAACAGAATTCGTCAAGACATTAGTGAACAATCTAGACTGGAT